CTTCTCAAACTCCAATGCAAACATACGGCCCAACCTGCGCCCCTTCCCTTTCACCTTCCTAGTGTTCCGGTCTTGAACTAAACATCCATCTTGAGAGAAAATGAGAATGTTTCCTTCATCAATTAATTGGCCAACAAAAATCAAGTTTGTAGTGAGATTAGGAACAAGAAGGGTCTTGGTAAGAAGGAAAGATGCAGTGGGTGAAAGCTTAAGAGACAGTGGGTAATGGTGAAAAGTTAAACATCATTTGTAGTAACAATTTGTTTGTGATGGGTTTTAGTAAGGTTGCTTGGTTGGTTAGGGTAGGCTCCTGTCATGTGGTTGGTAGCTCCGGAGTCAATGATCCAAGTATGAGAAGAAGAAACACAATAACCGGAAAACTCACCAAGTAAGCCAATAGCAGAAAGAGCAGAAGAAATAGCAGAAGTTACCAGTTGTTGAATGTTTTCCTCAACCATAGATGCCAGAGAATCACCTTTAACAAAAGAATCACCACCAGTAGTAGATTTCTTACTCCCATGTGCTACAACAGCAGTGTCAATTCCATTGGTTGATCCTTCCAGCTTTATAGGAATAATATCTTCTCTATTGGAGGCCATTTCAGCAAGAAAACAACAGTCCAGGTACAAGGATATTAGAGACAACCAAATTCAGCAATCAAGAACTCAGGATGACAATCCAAAAAAGGCAAGTTTTAAGACTGTTAAGTCTACATCCCTTCAAATATGAATCTGAAGTCTGAATCAAATAAATGGGAAGCAAGAAAACCCTAGGACGACACCAAATCTAGGGTTATAGGTTAATCGAGTCAGCCAATTGAGAGAAAACTATGATTTATCAACACAACAGGTGTCTTTTTCAAGAATGAGATATCTTGTGCTGATAGAAACAGTCCCTAGAAATCTCCAAACCAGAAACTGAGTGTAGTATTAAGAAGAGCTTGAGAGGACCCTTCAATCTAGAGAGAAAGAACTTAGATCGCAGGCTGATGTAGAAGGCCAGAAGTCCAAAAAAAAGTTACAGTCTAAAAAAGGAAACTGTACAGTGTTATAGCCCTAAGAAGATTAGAACTCCTTCGAAAATTTCACCAAATCAGATGTTGTTTGTAAGTAGAATAGATCAGGTCTAGGCGACACCAGATCTGAAGTCCAAAGTTGTTGTGGTCCAAAAAAGGAAACTGTACATTGTTGCCGCCCCAGGAAGAAGATCAGAACTCCTTCGAAAACTTCACCAAATCAGATGATGTTTGTAGGAAGAGTAGATCAGGTCTAGGTGACACCAGATCTGAAGTTTGGTCTCAAACCAATGTCTCACAAGAGAGATATAACAAAATCTCCCCTGCTAGTTAAGCAAAGAAGACTGAACAGAAAAGGGTTGATCAAAACAGCCCTAATATGACAGGATTACTACTTCTAGTGAGTTTCACGAGAGAGAGAAAATAGATCAAAGAGTAACCTGCTTTGATACCATGTCAATACTCTTGTCTAAATAGAGAGAAGAACAGGAATAATCTTAGAGGTGTCAAGAATGAAGGACCCCCACCTCAAAGAGTCTTTTATATATTAAAAGATATGTACAATTATAAGAATGCCCATATAGGGCTGAAAGAGAAAAGAAGAATAAGAAGTATAAGTAACGTACAACAAGGACTATACTAATAAGATACATCAAGTTATAGAGTCTCCACACTCTTCAGATTGGACTAGGGCATATACTTCCTGAACTGAAGGAAGTTCCCTACTTCCTAAAATTTGTATCTGAAGAGGCTTATAAGCAAGATTCAACCCATGCAAGAAAGCAAATACTCGCTGTTGGGAGACAAGTTTTTTGTATGCTATCCTCATCATTCTTCCACTCAATAGTCTGATAATAGTCCAGCTCCTTCCAGACAGATGTAAGGGCTGGAAAATATGTAGATAGGCTAGGCCCCCTTGCTTACAAGTAGATGATTCTGCTTGAAGCTGATAAATTTTGTCAAAGTGCCTCTGTTCAAAATAGGTTGCCTTGGCTTGTTCCCAAATTTCACAAATTGTGTCATCCCATATGAAATTTTTCTTCACATGAGGCAGCATGGAACCTAACAGCCATGACATAACCATGCTGTTTTCTTGATCCCATCGATCATGTTCAGCAGTACCAGACTTTGGTTCTTTTATTTTTCCACTTTGCCTTCCCCCTAGCTGTGATATACAGCTTGATGCCTTTGGACCATTCTAGATCATTTAGGCCATCAAAGGGGGTAATAGACATAGAGAATTTCATGTTTTCCATTCCCCCGTTTAGGTTTCCTTGATGGGAAGTAATACCAGAGGTTGCTAAATCCTCAGTAGCCATTTTTCTCAAAAAAACTTTACTGCTGATTTTTCAAAAACAGACTAAGATAGAACGTTTGTACTTATGTAGTTTAAAAAGGTCCCCAATATAGTTTTAGCTAGACTGTAGGTCAATAAACCTTAGCCGAAACATTTCAGCTTATAAGAGAAGAAGACAACCAGCACCTACAACTTCAAAACTGTGACATTCACAGTGGTCATACACTTAGATATAAATGTAACAGTACATACCTGGCTTCCACGACTTACAGCCCATAGAAAAACCTTAGGAAAAAACTCCTTACTGCATTCGGCTGCCACCACAAACCTAGGAAGACTCCTTACTGCATTCGTTTGCCACCACACTGCCACCACAGACTTCTTCTTGGTACAGCGACCAAGAGAGAAGAGAGGAAAAAACAAGGACTAAAGGTTGCACCCAGATGAAGAACACGATGGAGTCTTCACCTCCTCTTCCAATCAAAAAAGGTTTTCAGATGAAGAACACGATCTGAGAAGGTTGTGCCCAAATCAGTGCTCTGATACCATGTAGTTCGACAGTAATAAAAGAGAAAAGAAGAAGGAAAAGAGAAGGAAGAGAGAAGGGAGAGAGAAGAAAGAGTGTTTTGTTCTATTGTATGGCTGGCGGCGCCCTAAGTTAATATTTATACTTAGGGTGACAGCTTATAACAAATAACTTAGGAAAAAACCAAAACTTCCCTTACTGGGCTGCCACATGTTACAACATTGCTCTCCTACTCAATTGTTTCAAGGTGATCTATCTCATGCCATAAGGATTTCAGAGTATAGAAATAAACCGATACAGGTTTCTTCCCCTGCTTCAGATTGTTCACTTTAGTTTTCAACTCATAATCCCTAGCCACATCAAGTGGCTGCGAGTAAGTCTCTTTCATACTATCCCAAATATCCTCGGCTGTCTTTGCCCAAAGGTAATTTCTACTAATATGGGGCTGCATCGAATTGCACAACCATGTCATCACAAGATAATTTTCTTAAATCCATTTTGCATAAGAAGGGTCTTCCTTGGCTGGTTTCTTAGTGTCTCCAGTCACATAGCCTAACTTTCCCCTTCCTCCAATGGCCGTCATGGCAGATTGAGTCCACTCCAAATAGTTTGAACCATCAAACCTGATTGTGGTAATCTGAAAAGGATTGTTATCAGTCATACTAACAGCCCCTCCAGCACCTTCTCTAGCAGATTTTTGTTCACTCCCAAAGAACTCCATGCTGGACTCAACAAAGAGAAGAAAAAGGACACAATCAGCTCCCCTTTTGAATACAAAAAAACCCCCAAAACTAAGAATAGGGACAACAATCCAGTAGGTTTTTTGTTTTTCTTAAAACAAACCCTAGAAACAGTCTTGGAGAAAGTTAAAAAAAGAGCAGCCGCTCCTCATAGGGATTCCAAGAACCCTACCTCCTGTTACAAAACTTCAGGGAAACTGAAAATCTACCCAGAAACTTCTGGGTGGCACCTTCAATATGAGATTTAAGCCCTAAATCTCACTCAAACTAAGTTTCTCTGGTTCTTCTTGACTGCTGGGCAATCTCCAAGAGCAGAAGTGTCTTGGGTAAGCTTCAAACTCCACCAATCTCCAAGAATCAGGCCACGAAGAGAGCTAAGTCTCCAGCCCTAATAAAATTTCATGCAGCCGGCTGGGAAGAGCTCACATGAGATTCACAAGCAGAACTAAACCTGCTCTGATACCAAATTGAAGTTACTGCTGTTAGCAGAATTTTTATGTTGAAAGAATAACCCAGAAATCAAAGAGAAGAGGAGAGAAGAAGACAATACAACCTTCAAATTTTGGTGAAGAACAACTGTAAAAATAAAGTGTCTTGCTGGCTTTTTGTACAGCTTCTCATTGTACAAAAGACTTTTTCATTAATATAATTATACTTTACCTTTTGCTTAAACAAAAAAAAATAAAATAAAGAGTCCTACTATGGTGCAGTGCTGCAATGTAAAGCCTACCCCATATAGAAATAGCAAGGAGGGTGAGGTTATAGGTAGGCAAACTTATTTGGTAGGTCCACAGGGTGTGTGTGGCTATATGAGGTAAGCTTTATGTTGCAGAAGATGTACCTTAGCATGTTCCAAATAAAAATCTTAGATATGAAAAACAAGTAAATTGATCTTAAAGTATCAATCCTAGGCCTATGTAGGAAAATAAGAAGCTTCCTCAAAATATGGTATTAACTTCCACCAAAACCAAACTAATTCAATTATAAAGACTCAAATTCCAATTCTATGGCAACCAAAGTACTACCTACCCGATTAAAGTATAATATCACACTTCTATAATTTTTTGTCTCAATTGGTTTTGAATACTCTAATTGAAACATTACAACTCTAAAAAACATATAACACAAAAGAACGTTTTTCTAAAACTTAAGGAAAACGATTATTTTTCTTATTTGTTAAGAATTATATAAATATTACTGTATGATCWTGACCATAAAGCTATAAACAATCTTTTTATGTATAGTTTGATATTAAAAATATTATATGCATAGTGATTTATATTGCTTTTTATCTTTTGTGATTAAATTTTAGATAGTTTCTGTATAATTATTTCTATGTATATAAATGTCAATATTATCTTTGCAATGTTTTAGTAAGCTTCCACAAACTTTCACTTATTGAGTTCACTTCCTCTTGGGCCACAATTTACACTGAAATCATAGTTTAAACCTTGCTTCAAAAATTGGTTACTGAATATGGGTGAAAGATACATATTTCTAACTGCAATTTCTCCCTCATTCTTTCCAATAACTCAAGATGGTAGAGAAGAGATTACATTTCACCCCTAGATGATTTAGCATCTCACATAGGAGCTTTTATGCCATCCATCAATAGATGGTTAAGCATTCTATCAGATTTACAAAATTCTATGTACAAAGATGATCACATTTACCATTATGCGCCTTGTATTTGCTTGGATAGAGGTAACCACAATGCACACTGGCAACAAAGAAACCGAGAGACAGCCATAGAGTTGGCAGTTTTCTATTTCTAAAATCCTAACTTCTTCCTCTCTTCAAATTTTATTTTCAATTCTTCTATAGTTGGCAGTTTTCTGCCACTTCTTGCAGTTGTACTCCACCATGTCATAAGCTCATCCTGTAAAACATCAAGGAGTCATAACAACTTAGAACGGTGTGATATTGGTAGTAGGTGTCTATACACTGCCTAACTGAAACAATAATAAGCAATTGGATTTACAACAAAAAATTCTTAATTGAACTATTGAAGTTAGTTTAATAATGTTCTGCAGCAGAACATTTTACTTGGACAGCAATGCTATATACAACCAAACAAATGCTATATGGTGAAACAGGCTACAAATATTTTTTTTTATTATTACAGTTTTTGCAAAACTTTAAGACAAAAATTTAGCATCATCTTACATGTATACAATAAACCTCTTTGTTCTTTAAAATCCATGTTATCCTTGTATTGAATGTTTAATTGAAAATTGAATATTATAACCAACTTTTCAATCATATTGAATCTTAAATATCCTTGTTACAGTACTTGAACAAGTTAAACCTCAACCAAGTGTGGAAGATCAGATTTGGTGGCTGCATGTTAATTCTGGAATTTTCAAAGTCAATTCGATGCTACATATCCTTTTGGCTGTGGATGCTGAAACCACGCCTTGGATTTGGATTTGGAAGTAAAAGATTCCCTCCAAGGTGATCTTTTTTACTTGGACAGCAATCAAAAGGAATGCTCCTACCATTGACATTTTTAAGAAGTAAAGGTTTGTACCTTGTCAATAGATGTTTGTGTGACACAGATGAAGAGAATATCCTACATCTCCTAGTAAAAAAACTGCACCTACTCACAGGCATTGTGGCTTCATGATTTGAAATTGTTTGGGGTGTCCAGGGTCAACCCTCCTGATGTGGAGTCTCTGTTCTCTACTTGGAGAATGCAAGCTTTCTGCAGAAGGGGAAGAGTTCTCTAGAATATGTTACCTTTTGCAATCTGTTGGTGCATATGGAGGGAAAGACACAACCGGATCTTTGAAGATGTCTCCCTGCCCACTGAGGAGCATTGTGGCAAGGTCGAGAGGACTGTTCTAAAGTGGGCCTTGATCAACAAGATGTTTAGGGGACTAAAGTATAATCATTTCACAGATCATTGGGGTTCTATTCTGTGGGATGACACCTTTTCTGGTTGATGTTGTTCTTTGTATTATGCTTTTTCTTTGGCATTTGTATGCTCCCTTGTAGTCAGATTTAAAGGAAATCTCTCCCTTTACAGCCTTTTCCTTCTCTTTATCTAATGAAATTATTACCACTTTTCAAAAAAAAAATATTTCTACAAAATAGGCAAAGTCAGCATATAAGAGGTGAATATTAGGCCCAAAATGCACTGTTTTTTATATAGATATCACCGAGGAAATATTTTCAGAAGCATCATCACATGCAATATTTTTTTTTTTTTTATGAATGAGTAATTTTATTAAAGGGAAAAAAAGGAGAGTAGCAATCAGCCTTGGAGGAGGCATGAGATGCTGCCCCCCCATTGGGATGAGTACAGACCCAACTCTTATCAGTAAACAAAACTATAAGTTAACTCATTACAAAGAAACCCAAGAAGCCCCTTGTTTAGCCAGGGATTCTGCCAAGGCATTTGCTGATCTACTAACCCAATGGAAACTGACTGACATATTTCTTGTGAGCCATTCTACTTTTTTCATAAGATCTCTTTAGCCCCAAATAATATTACATGCATTATTAATATCAAGAGCAGTATTTTGCAACTGAGTCACTGCTTGCCCTATTGGTATGAACATATTTCTGAGTCAAAACCAATTGTTGCCGGACTGGGAAGGTCTAATTTCATATAACAAAACTATTTGACAGTAAAATTGGAAGAGGATAAGTTCTTTGATCATCCTGAATTATGGGGAAGTAGTAATTTAGCATGGGAGAGAGGATAGAGAGAATGGTTACAAGGGTATAGAGATAAAGTTTAGGGGAAATTGTTGAGTAGGCTTGTACTATACTCCATTCTCTTTCATAGTAAAGAACAGATTCATCTATGTATGAATGTAAATATGTATTTGTTGTGGTTCTGTGCAAGAATAATGTTTGAAAATGGATTTCTCAATAGTAACCCCAAATATTTGGTCAAAGCTTTGTTAAGTTTAATTGAGTTGACCAAAATTCAAAATGGCCAAAAATCCAGTTTGACAAGATACATTTTATTAAGACACCTGTTGATTTAGGGTTCTATCAATCTAGAAAGAAAAATAACGGATATGTGAATTTGTGATATTCATTGTTCTTATTTTTACTTGTCACTAAATTTCCGCCATATGGTCATAAACAAGCTAACTTGACATACGTTGGACATTTATAACACTTTTTGGTGGTGTAGATTCTTAATCTTCCTCAATGATTTTTGGTTTGATGTCCTAGTGACCTTATTTTATTAGACAAAAAAATCTAACCATTACAAAGTGACAAACCTACATTGGGTAATGGCCTTCAATCAAGGTTCAAAATATTGATACGCCCGACATGCCGGTAGAGGCGTATCGGTAGTTTTTTTAGTTTTTTTTTCCAGTCCGGTTCAGAGGGGCCAGTTTAAGGTCCGTCCACCCCCCCTGAACTGGTCAAAACCCCAATACACCCTCTGTAGGGGCGTATCGGGAAGCTCCCGATACGATACATATCGGCCGTTACGTATCGATACTTTGAACCTTGCCTTCAATATGTGAAGGCCAATGCAGAACCACATAATTTTGAAATAAGATATGACATATCCAAAGTGGAATATCTACTTCAATATGTGAAGAATACTACAGAATTCATAACATCTGTTACTGAGCTACAGAAAGACATTGTAAAAGGTAATTATGATTTCAAAGTACAGAATCTATAAAATATGTTGGATAACCATGTTAGTTCCATAGTTTGAGGATTATCGAGATAAAAGTAACAATAAGAATATTTGATGATGTATCCCAACCTCTTGCAATGTTCTGCAGTGATATCTATGGGATGTATATCAGAATAATATGCAGTGATATCTGTGAGATGTATTTGTTGGAAAGAACCCAAAGGTTAAGTGGGTGGGCTTTGAGGGGACATGGATGTCATCTTGGGGAATTTCTCCTCATAATATTTGGCTTAAGTTTGACTTTTTCAAGGATTATGAATTCAATTTTTATCTGTTTTTTTATCAATAAAACATTTTCAGCTTCTCACTGTAACAACTCAACTCAACAAAGCCCCGTTCAAACTATACAGGGTCAGCTAAATGAGCCAATACTGTTTGCACATTTTACCTTATCAGGGGACACCCCATTCAAATTTTGAGTCCTCAAATCTCTTCTTTAAGTCAATCCATATTCTTCATCCTTTCTCTAGCTCTTCTAGAACCATCTACTTGCATCAAAATATTCTTTACCAGGCAGCAGGTACTCCTTATGTTCATGTCTAAACCATCTTAGTCTACTGTCCCTCATTTTGTTGCCTATTCGGATTATTCTAGATCCCCATGAAGGTACTTTCTCTAGTAAATGGTATAGTGTTATTTTATCTAATGCATAAAGTTCCATTCTTATCAAATCTCAATCATAACAGAGACCATACTTTTCAAATGCATCACTATATTTCAGATGAGATTTTACCTCAAGGAAATCATGGTTAGAGACATAGTGACTCTCAACTAAGCTTTTGAAACCTCCAATATCCACAGAAAGAGGAATATCAGAACTCCCAAATGATCTGTCTTGTGACACCCCTATAATATTTCAAGAGTAAAAAGTGAGGAAAAGAAAGAAAGAAAGGAAAATAATGAATTAAAACAAAATTTAGTTGTTAAATATATGCATTGTGAACCTTTTTCATATTTAGACAAATTAAATTTGCAAAACAAATGAACAAAAAAAAGAAAGAAAGAAATGCTTATTTGATTGTCTGTTTAGAACAATTACATCAAAATATTTAAACAAACGAACCAAAAAAGTTGTTTAGTTTTATCTATAATTCCAAGCTTACCATTTATACAAGCCACATAGTAACCTGTCCCCCCTAGTCCTTCGTCCCATTTCCCAAGACGCAAACGAAGGAAGAACCCCTCAAGACTAAAAGCTAAACTTGGAGATGTCATCCATCTAGTAGAGACATAAAATGAAAATTCAATCAATTGTAAACACAGATAACTTAGAAAATGAAAAGGATAGAGTATGGGTGTTTATACAAAGGTAGAAATACAATCATGAAAGACCTCTAGTACAAGGTAATGGTTTTGTGGAGATAATTATTATATGCAATGATTTAATGCACAAAGGAAGAAGAAAAATTCCAAGATATTCTTATTCAATGATTGATTTGGTTACCATTGGCTATAGGAGTTGGAGATATTCCTATTGAGAGGAATTAAGGTTGACTGGATCATCAGAAAGTGGATTGCAGTGATTAGATCCTTAGTCAAAGAGTACAGAAAGTTAGCTTATGATACTCTCTTAGTGAGTACACTAATTTAAACTTTATAGTATGTTCCCTAATAACCTTTGTCTATGACGGTTTGGAGGGATCTTCAGGAATGGAGACAGTGCCATGAGTCCATGGCTCTAGCTTATGACCTGTCAGAACAAAGTATTCTGAGAGAACCAAGTATTTGTCTATTGATATAGGTTTCAGACTACTAGTATCTATAGATTATCAGGGGACATGAATTGATAGTTCCTAGGCTGTGATAAGATGGATGAGGAACAGGATCAAATCCATCTGTTCTTGGAGACTGTGTTACAAGATCAGAGAGGTGAACATTGAAAGAGTAAACTCTCAACATATTTTGAAAATGACACAAGTTACCTCACTTGTAAACACTAATTACAGTTTTACCATCTTATTTTAGGGTAAATTGCTAAAACCTTCCCTGAAGTTGATAATCATTGCTGAAACCTCCCCTTAAGTTTGGTAATTGCAATCACCTCCCCTGAACTTTTTTGACACAGTTGCAAGTAGACCCCTCTGTTAAAATCCTCTAACAAGAGGCACGAAAATGTCCAAAATACCCATGTGATTACTATCAAGGCTGGTTTTTACAAAAAAAAAAAAAAAATCAATACAAACTTTATGAACAACAAAAATAAGAGATTTTAAAGTTGCAATTTTACCTTTGAGCAATTGATATGAAGGTCAAATTAAAAAAAAATGGAAAAGTGATTGTAAGTGCTTGGCATAGTGATTGATATAGAAAAATTTTGGAAAATAAACATTTTGGTCAAAAGTAACTGCATGGGTATTTTGGACATTTCCGTGCCTCTTGTTAGAGGATTCTAACAGAGGGGTCTACTTGCAACTGTGTCAGAAAGTTCAGAGGAGGTGATTGCAATTACCAAACTGCAAGGGAGGTTTCAGCAGTGGTCAACTTCAGGGGAGGTTTTAGCAATTCACCCTTTATTTTATTTTATTTTTATGAACCCAATTTTAATTTTTTGTTCCCAAACTAATGCTATAGTGTACAATGTTTGCCCCTTCAATAAGGACAAGAATGTTATTTTTGTCTATATGATATACAAGAAGGTGCCAAAAGGGTAAAATAGAAATTTTGAAAATTTTAAATGTTACTTGATTACTTTCAGTCACTAAAACCAATGGCATATTAGTGGAGGGGTAGAATAAATAACTTAACTCCAAACTACAAGGGGTGGGTAAGTTAATAGGTAAACATGAGGAGAGGTCTTAGTATTTGATTGAAATCCTAGGAGAGCTATAAGTAATTTACCCTTTTTAATTTTTATTATTATGTTGGTTTAGGATGGACCTTCATTCCATAAATCTAATTTTTTTGCATTGTATAATCATAGTTGGCTTGATATGATAGATCTAACTTAGATACTTTTTTAGAATTTTATTATGTATTAATGATATCATTGGATAAAATTCCTTACAAATTCTATGTTATTTGTTTTCAATTGTTTCAAAATTTTCATGTTCATTTTGATTTTTGAATACCTCATAGACATCCTCTCATTGAGAAGAACTTTGGGGGAGTATTTATTAGATGTAGTGGATTCATAATGGCAATGCATTCAGGTCCTGCGGGTTATGGATATTCTATAGGGGCAGAACTGATGGCAGTCCTACACGATTTGAAATTGGGCAAAGCCTCAATTATAGAGACATCATAGTAGAAGGTGATTCGAAAGTAGTGGTCAGATGGTTCAGATGCAATGCAATGGGAACAAGGAAATACAGATGTATCTTGTGGGAAGTTAAAAGTTTGGCTGCTGAACTAAATGCTACATTTCATTGGGCGCCTAGAGGTGCCAATAGCATGGCCAATGCCTTGGCTAGACAAGGAGTCTACAGGGAGAAACTATTTTGTGGGTGGTTCCAATGGGGGACCAGTTGTAAATATGCACTTTAATTTGAGGATAGGTATGAAGCAAGCCTACAAGGGGGTGGAAGACACAGAGCTGTACAATATTCTTTTAATATCCTAACAAAATTGATTGTTCACAGATAAAAAATATTCCTTTTCATTATGATAAAGATCTCTTAAATGTTTGCAGCACATTCAAATTTAAGAGATTGGGGAGACTCTCTTGTATTATTATCTCTGAATTAATAAAATTTTACCTCACCTTCAGTCAAAAAAAAAAAAAAAGAGATTGTAAAACAAAATTAGCAGAGGTGATAAGTTAATTAGGTAAATTATTGAATGACTCATGCACGACTGATGTATCAAATCTTTAATTTTTAACTTTAAATATTTTTTCAGCATGACTTAGCAAAAAGATATCCTATTTTGAATTTCCATTCCCCCACCCCAAGAGAAAATTTTTGTTCTGCCCTGGGTTGGTTATTCAATCCCTAACCTTGATTCTCAAATTTCTAGCCTCAACTTTCTTATTGGATAAACATGATAAATTTTTTACATTATCATAGCCTTCAATCCTAAGCACATCAAAATTGTCTCTCAAGCTTAATTATAAATTAAATTCTTTAAGCCAATTGTAGAACACCCTAAGTGCCTTCCTCATGTAGCTACTATAATCATTTTTAGACTATAATGCAACAGTTCATTTCTTCAAATCAGCAACATGGTTTACCATATTTTGTGAAACTTTGATTTTAATTAAAGTGAAAAAATTAAAATGACTAAATTTTGGATGAAACTTTGGAATTCCACTGATCCATTTCAGTGAATTTGAGGTAGAAAACTTGGCCAAAATATGTAAGATAATTAAAAAGATAAAAAAATTATACAAACAATGGCTACTTTATTCTCTTTCAATAAGAAATTAAAATGACTAAATTTTGAATATCCATTGTACCTATTACTTGTTTATCTATGGCAGTGGATATGCACAAAAGAATAAAAAATGAAAAAGTGGATATAAAAATAGTAAATAGCACTTGAAAGTCATTAAAACATGGTGCAGAATTTTGAAAACCAACTATCAATAAGTTAATTTCAAACGAAATTTTCCTTGCTAATTTTTATTTCAAATAAAAATTAAGAAAGTAATCATTTTCCATTTTCTTCTAGTAAGAGAAACTTTTCTTACTTAAGGATGTCTGTGCGAGAGATACGGAGTCTCCTTATTGCTTCAAATGTTCCTGTTGGAACCTCTGGAACCTGCCTAGTGATAAAGTTGCTTAAGGGTGACTTTGAGGTATTCTTCTTTCCATTCAGCACAAATTCTTTAGAAACTCTCTGCATTTTTGATCCTTCACAAAAGTTACTCCCTAGAAACTTCTGAACTGGATTCGAATCCAAAAACCATCCTTTAAACATCGTCTTTCTACTCAAGTTTTTCTTGATGTCTATATGGTCCAAAGTTTTAGTCTCCAGTCTTGAACTTTGTCCATCACAAATTGTGAGTCTATTGCCAGCTCGGCATTGGTTATCCTCATCTTCTGAAGGCTTTAGATTTCTGTCATTGCCATGGATAAGAGTATCATCCTCTGAATTGTGATGTATTTTCTCACTTCTGAAGTTGAGCAAAGAAGTATTGTCATACAAATGACCTCTTTTAAAGGATGTATAAGGGCATGCAATAGCCCAATGATTAAGCTGAAAACATCGGATACACAAGCAAGGAGATTCTTCTGCCCCAACATATGAACTAATATTTCTCATAAGATCCTCAATCTCAGATTCAATCATCTCTGAGCAATCTTGTAAGTTGTGACCTCTAATGCCACAAAACAGGCATGTTGTGGTTGCACAAGTTGCATTATCGGCTACTTCTGATGTTATGATGTGTCTGAGAGCATACAATCTCCTGGCAAAAACTGAAGCCATATCCCCTGAATTTTTGAATCTTTGAGAAGGAAGAATAGGATTCAATTTAGATTTCAACTTATGATCAGTATGTCTTGTGGCTGTTTTTAAATCTAAGGATAGAGCTGTATTTACTGCTGATTTCTGAAAATTTCTACTTAAAATATCCATTTGGTCTTTGGCAGAATGCTCCATGACATCTTCATAGTTTTGGTCTTTGGTAAATATACAATCCTGAGGATTAGAAAGAACCCTTGTCCTCTCAGACAAATCCCCAATAGGCATATATGAAATTTTCTCGCATGAAGGTGAACTTGACACAGGGTTTGAAACTTTGGTAGAAAACCGAGTTATCCATGAACTCCCAAGGAATCTGTTTCTGTTGGAGACAGAAGCTGAAGACTTGTCTGGACCCATCAAACTAAGCTGACAAGCTTCTTCCCCTTCACATGGAGGGTCATAATCTTTATGGGAAGAGGAAGTTGAAGAGCTTATTCCACACTTCACACTACCATGTGCAATTTTGCATGAGGTATTAGTCTTAGCAGCACCTATCTTATCCTTCGCCTGTGGAACAACAGCATGCATACAAGAATTATCTGCTATATTTGAAGTGCCCTCTCTGCCTCTAGATGTTTCCAAGTTAAAATTTTGACCCGAAATAATAATTTCTTTACCAAATTTAGCGTCATCTTCACCATAGCCTGAAGTAAATTTATTGTCATTTATCTTTTCTACTTGTTTTTCTTCTTTAGAATTTTCTCTTGAATGATGAGGATCTGAAGTTCTTGTTTCTTGTATCTTTTTGCTTGGGAGACAGAGGGCCTGAAAAGTAGTTTGGAAACCCATATTTCCATACCTGGCACTTTGGTGGTTGTCACATGCCATACAACATTGGTCCTGACCCAAATATTCATGATGAGATCTCACAGTAAGGGCCAAGGAAGGTGGTACATCTGGATCGGTCCGAGATATTCCCTTTATCATGTTTGAAATCCATGTCACAAAAGAGCTATCTTGCCTCATGAAAGATGATGAACTGGGATTTTCATGGATCTGTTTCTTCATTCTTTTACCCCCAACTAAGAATTTCTGTTTAAAACTCCATGATCGCTTTCTTACTGAAGACAAACCTGCACCGTTACAACTTTCAACACTCTCATAGCTGTCCTCCTCCTTTGAATTTCCTTCTTTAACTACTCCAATAGACAAAGCCTTTATTTTATCTTTTCTTTGATAAAGACATGTTGCACTATTATTTGGAGAAGTTTGACTCGAAGAACTCTGCTCCTTTAGAAGTGTCCCCTCATTCTGCTGAGTGTAATGTTTAACTTCTTCAGTAGGTTGTGATGATAAAGCTACATCAACCTCTGCACGTGAACTTTCACCCTTCATGGGTTGTAAGACATCTGTTAGATCACGTATCTCCAAACTGACATTTGTAGACCCAGCCTCGTTCATGTTATCTTTGTTGTCCTCATCATTAGCTGAAGAAACACCCTTATGCTTCCAATAAGAGGTTATCAAATTTGGGATGGAAGTATTGGGAGATTTACATTGTTCCATTGGGGAAAATTCAGAGGCTAAAGCAACTGCGATGTCTGCTGTACCACTATTCACATTACCAACTTGTCTATTTGTGCTGAAAGGGTCAGTGCTTGCTCCATTGTTGATGTATCCACATGCTGGTTCTGCTTGAGATAAATCAGGCTTATACTCATTCTCCTTAGATAAAACATCAGCAATCCCCTCATTTTCTGGACCTGTGAGAAACCATGCTGTCCTATGAGATACCATTAGACATCAAAACATGAAAAGAATGCAATCAAGCACTTACCCGGCATACAAACATTGCTGGGTAAACTTGAAATAGTATTTTCTTTAGTCTTGAAAGTGTCAGTTTGAATGCTGGGTGTCACTTTTTGGTCTGAATAATCAACCAACTTCTGATTAGTATTGAGGACTGGTTCTTCTTTTATTTTGTTAAAAACTCCCATTCCACCTGATCCTGAAAAAGAAATCACTAGGATTAGATTCAACCAGTTGGGCCATCAAGACACTGAAATAAAGATTTCAATGAATCTGGAAGGTTAAAATTTGTAAATGAAATCTATTCAATGTCCACAATTTCATTGCAATGATGATTTGTGAGTTCCTGGAAATAGGTATAATTACCAAGGGTATGCCCATCACTTGCTTTTTCACCGACTGATCCCATGTTCATAGTGCTTCTAGGTGACTTTTCCAAAATAACCCTATCATCTGAATTCTCAAAATGGGAAGCCATCTGACATGAGATTGAATTACCTCCTGCCCCAAGTCCACCTCCACCTCCACTATTAATAATTTCCTTGGATGTAGTATTTTGTGGTAGTGAAAGAACCATGTTACTTCCACCACCCCACAAAAGAGAGGGCTTTCTCTCAGCAAATCTACACTCAGCAGATTTAAGACTCAAACCTTTACGTGGGGACCAGACAAGTTCTGAGAGGGGGTTAACAGTGACAAACATCATCTCTGCCCTTGAAGCTGCATTTGCACCTGCACCATAATCACTATTCAACCCTCTCTGAGTGGATTCATTGGAAGAATCCAGAACAAATCCATCTTTCCTTGGTTGTCCATTATTGCTCTCAATGTTCATCTTTGGCAATGTAATTGGTTCAGGAGGAAATCCTGGAAGGCCAATTGACTCCAAGGTAGTACCTTCCATGCCTATACTGTTATAACTTGTGCCTGAAAGCAACATGAAGAACATGTTTTCCATTGTACAAAGAGAGAGAAAAATAATGGAAATGAAAAAAAAAAAAGAAAGTGAACAGGTTTGCCTTAGACTAAAGTATCTCTGACAGCATTAGCTGAATACAGGAATATAGCTCTCATTAACTTATCACACTAAATAGTAGATAAATGAGTAAGTAATGCTGGACAGAACATAATTGAAGCAGAAAGCCAGGATAGCCCACTCTCCTATGCCCATTGACAAGCCCAGTGAATGATCATTTCCTTTTGCCATACAAACAAAGTTCTTTGGATTCTTCAAAGTGTCACTAGGACTAACTAAAATTTTCATAATCACATGCATATGGGAATTGTTCATAAACAAGATAAGCTCTTCCTTGATAATCATCCCCAAGCATTTCACATAAAACCATAAAAATCTATTGTAGACTGACATCATTTACCATTAAGGTCCTGAATCACATCAAGAATCTTCCTCTATATGGACCTAGCCCACAGTATTTACTGCACGAAGTAGACACTCTCAGACTCAAATCTGCATTCTCATGCTTGTCAGCCCAAGATTTTACCATTGCATCAAGCAATGACTCCTTCGAAGAAGTTATATAAGCATTACAAAACTAAAATAGATTCAGAAAGAACTATTGACAATGCAGTAACGTTGATGTACTCCACTTAAACTTAGGACTAACAACGAAAGGTGTCCAAATGACAGAGTGAGATCCATTTTTTCTCTTTCTTATTTTCTTTCTTCAGCCTAAAGAAAACATTATGCAATGGCAATAGTATTTGGGATGTACTTAACAACATGTTTAATATGTAGGTTAGTCCAACATAGCTATTTTTATAGGAAGGTCTAAGATTCCGCTTTTCTATATACATAATTAATGGATTTCTGAGAAATATTTAAGGCCTATTAGAAATTTCACTAAACTCTCATATTCCAGCCATCAGAAATCCATTCATTGAACCTCATAAAGATATCCAATTTAATTTCTTTAAAATATGATTGAACAAATCCACCTCAGGATTCCATGCTAAAACTCAATATTGATCTTGAACACATCTACCTGGCTGACTATTTTAGAACAAAAACTAAGGAAAAAGAAAAAAAAATGTTTACATATACATGCAGAATTCTACCCCATATAGTTGGGATAAAGCTTGGATGATAATGATATACAAACAGAATTCTCTTCAAAGACTGCTATTAACTCAAGTTCTCGTACCAGGGCTACCCGCAAAACCCAATAACTGGGAACAGGATTCAACAAATTAAAAACACAACTCCTCAAACATAATCCTATTAGTATCTCAACTTTTCTTTGAGAATAGAAAAGAAACAACTCACATGGTTTTAGAAATGGAGCCTAACCATTGCAATTAGGATATGCTTGAAACTTCTATGTCAGAATCCTTGAAGTTTGTAAACTAAAAAGAGAAGGGAACAAAAAATGCAGAGCATAAAACCAGAAAAAAAAATTACGCGCAGAGAGAAAGAGAATAATACTTATGAAACTAAAATCCTACCAAAGAGGATGAAAAGAGGAACTCCGTTATCATCCAACGCAACGAAAGAAGTACCACCTGAACTTTGAAAAATCTAGATAGGGAGAGATAGAGGAGGACAGATAGAGACCATGAAGGAGCTATAAGTAAAGCCATTTCCAATTAAGCATACCCATTAAAGAAAAACGAGGATTTTCTTTAATGGGTATGCTACTCATGAAACTACAATCCCGCGAAAGAGAATGAAAAGAGTAATTTCATTATCATCCAACGCAATGAAAGGAGTACCACCTGAAACTTGAAAAAATCTAGAGAGAGATCATGAAGAAGGAATTATAAAATTCAAACTAAGCATACCCATTAAAGAAAAATGAGAATTTTCAAGTACCCAAATGCCTTCTTTTAGTTTTCAATACCATAAAAACTTCATTTTCAAGCAAGCTTATAGCCGGAAATCTTATGTCCTACTGAGAACTTGGGGCTTGATATTTCTTTGTATATATTAAAAGAGAAACCAGAAATTTTTGCTCAGATTTGACTGAGGATTAAAGGTGTTTGTGTTCTATAGATAGATAGATATAAGAGAGAGAGAGAGCGGGAGCTTACTCTAGTTCTGGAGACTGGATTGTGGCATTGCGTCCCATAACGGTATAAACGAGAATTACGACTCCAACTTGAGTCCGGATCCGGAGTATCCACAATACACTACCCCGTGCATCGGAAACATCTTTCCCTACTATGCAGACGATGAGATATTCTCCATATATGATTCCGATAAACATCGGCAGAATTCTCGTGGGCAGGATATCTGGACTCCTCCAATTTATCTTTTCAATTACAATACTTCCTCCAATTTATCTTTTCAAATTACAATACTTCCCTGTTTGGGAGGCTAAGCATCGGCCACGTGGTTACACTGTTACCAGTAAACGGTCGACTAATATACATCCCTTTCACATATATATTAACGTCCTCTTAACTCTTGAGAAATATGTACTCCTCTGGTCCACACCGTTGGATGGTGTGACCAAGATTCATGAATCTCTAAGAAAACTCTTCATGCACATTCATGAATCTCTCAGAAAACTCATCATCCACATGCAAGAGCTGCCCAACAAATTGACATGCAGATAAATAGTAGTTCCTTTTTTCATTTTTTTCTTTGTTACAGATAGGTGTGCACAATTTATGATAATGATGATAGTAAATTATATATTTTTAAATTTTTCTATATTTTTATAATTTATTTATCACAATTATTTTTGTTTAATATGATAAATATATTATAGATGTATCCAAATGTTTTTATATTTTTTTTGTAATTTTTATATTTTTGTTTGTTTTTATTTTATTTTAATTTTTATTAGGACAGGTTTTTTAAACTACCCTTATGGTTTAGCTAATTGATTAAGTGTATCTTTACTATTTGAAAATTGACTAATGTTATCCTTACTATTTTTAACAATTGACTAATACTTCCTTTACCGTTAGCATCCCTTAATATTCCATTAACAAAAAAACAAAAAAGACTATTTTGTCCTTTATTTTTCTTCAAATTTTCAAAATAAAACAGAAAAAAAAAGAAGAAAAAGAGAGAGAGTACATGTCTAGATATTGCCTTTACCTCTCTCTAGTTTTCACAGTATAGAAATCAGCTCTGGTTCCATCACTGCTTTCTTCTTCCCAACTGCAACTGCCAGAGACCGACCAAGAGAAAAATCTGGAAGTGAAATTAGGGGGGTTTCTTGATACTAGGCCCAAGCATCGATGGTATTTAACTTGCCTCGTGTCTGACTGTCTGTATTTAAGGGGATTTGAGACATTTCATTCAAGAAACTAATAACAATTTTTAAGGGGAACAAAATCATAAATTTCCTTTTCTTCAACAAAATGTTTTTTATAATAACACATAATTCAACATGAAAATTTATCCACCCATTTTACATTGAAACCAGGGGAGCTTAATGGGACTCATTTTTGGAAATAACAAGAGTGATGGATAAAAAAAAAATCCTGCTAAAATATTCGAGTTAATATTTTTTTTTCGTTTTTTATAATAAAACATTATTTTCAAAATAAATTAAAATTTTGGAAAATAAAGCTTTTTGTTACAAAAAGGTGATTGACAATGAATCCATGATGGTGGGTCTCATGTTTAGCCAAAGCTTCTCTCTCAATGGACGAATGACCAAAGATTTTTTTAGGCACTTGTACCAAATTTCTTTGGGCATTTAATTGCAAAATTTGTGAACTGAGTTCACATCAGATGGTGGGGTCACAATCACTAAAGTGGGTTCACTTGATCCATTTGATTAGGCTTGTCTTTTTGTTCTCCATCTCCTTCGCTGGTACTTGTCAAACCTATGCTGTCACCCAGCTGTGACATGAGTCCAAAAGGAATAGCTATTGGAATTAATATTCCCACCTAAACTGATCATCACATCATGTTAATGGGTAATCAACCAATCAATGGTCCTGAGTATACTCAAGGCAGGTAGGTTAGGTAAGCTCTCTTTTTCCCACAAATACAAATTTTGCACCTAGCTTAGATTTGTATCTGTTTTTGTTTTTGTGTTACCATGAATTTCATGAGTTAAATTCCTTTCTACACAAAATTTACATTGCTTGTCAGATCTGCATTCATTGGCAATGCAAATTTTTTATTCTAAAAATTAAAGCAAAATTTGTACCACCTTTCTCCTCCCTTAATTTTATCCTATATAAAGTAATTAGGGACATCAATTTATTCCATGTTTTACTCTTAGAACGAAATCTCCTTCCTACTTTTCATTTGGAAAGAATACAAATACAAAAATGTATAGTGTAAATACATACAAAATAATATAAAATACAAGGTTTTGCACTCTAGATATTTGTATTTATGGCTCAGTTTGGAAAGAGTATAAATACAAATATATACAGTACAAATAAATATAAAATATATAATGTTTTACACACTATAAATTTGCATTTGTACTCTTTCCAAACTGAAACAAACAAATTTAAAACAAAAGCAAAACAAAATCTACACCTCAGCCCATTTACCCCCATGCATTTACACTAGTGCAAATGACTTTTACACCGCAAACAAACAGAGCCCAAAGGATCGTATAAGCATGACATGAGGTATCCAATTAGTCTGAATCTAAGGCTATTAAGAAAGATATTATCAACATGTGGGTGGTTTAAGATAGGATGTGTATGAATTATTTATGGGGCATTTCCATCCATCACGTGATAGGATATGGTAAATCACAAGGTTTTTAAAATTAGATCAGACAGGAACCGTTTTGGGTCCGATTTCTGGGTTGAACGGCTGGCTGTTTGGTCCAAACAGATGGCCTATTCAGACAAAAAAATAAAAAAAAATTAAAAACACAAAAAGTGGCCATAAACTATTCCCAGATCGAATGATTTAATGGTTCGACTGTTCAAGTCAATGATTCATTGACTAAATCAATGGTTTTTGACAAAAAAAA